GTGGAGAAGCTAGCAGAGTATATGGTGAGAGGCTAGCAGAGTGTATGGTGGGAAGCTACCAGAGTATATAGTGAGAGACTAGCAGAGTGTATGGTGGGAAGCTAGCAGAGTATATAGTGAGAGCCTAGCAGATTGTATGGTGGGAAGCTAGCAGAGTATATAGTGAGAGACTAGCAGAGCCAGAGGGAGCAGGCTAGCAGTGGAGAAGCTAGCAGAGTATATGGTGAGAGGCTAGCAGTGTGTTTTGTGGGAAGCTACCAGAGTGTGTAGTGAGACTAGCAGAGCGAGAGGGAGCAGGCTAGCAGTGGAGAAGCTAGCAGAGTATATGATGGGAAGCTACCAGAGTATATAGTGAGAGACTAGCAGAGCCAGAGGGAGCAGGCTAGCAGTGGAGAAGCTAGCGACGGAGTCGCGTGGTGTCTGTTGGAATAAAGTGACACCGGGGAAAACGAAGTTGTCCGCGTGAAATAACACCACGACACGTGCAACACCAGCAGCTTTTATTGCATCCTTGATTTGCGCCAATTTTATTTTTTTGCTGGTGGTGGTGGCTACAAAGGCTTCATTATACCACGCCGCAGTAGGTGTACAGTACAGTCGGCCCGACGCTTGCCAACATTCGGATTAAAAAAAATATTTAAAAAAATGTGCTGCGTTGCATGTCACGGCATCCGTGATGTGTCCGCGGAACCCTTGAACATCCGTGGCTGGGTGCGAACATGGTGGGGTTCACCTCCCCCCCCCACCCCTTGCGGGAATGGTAGGTAGGTAGGTGGGGGCGAGAGGGAGGTCTGTGTGTCTGTGTGTGTGTGGGTTTTGTGTGTGTGCCTAGTTGCTTGCACGTTTGGCGTGTTGCTTAGAGGGCGGGTGGTGTGATTTACTCGTGGCTGCACAGATTTGGCAACAAGGGAGGCTCTGGGATTCATTTGTTGATGCCAGTTGCCCGCACGGGCGGTGGCTCATGGCGCAGCCCTTTGAAGAAGGGAAAGCCTCTAAAGGAGGATTGTGCAACAAAAAAAGAAAGAACCCACGGCGAGCAGCCCTTGCCAGAGCCGACGTGTTCACGGTCCAGCAGCCGTCGTGTTTATACCCACGAGCCTTGCTAATGTGCGCTCTCACTCCCGTGTGAACTGTACCGAGAGCTGAATATGATTAGAATAATTTTAAAGATCAGAATTTTTTGTTGTTTTATATATATGCGCGCACACAGACGGCACGAGGGCATTGCAGGTAATGTGTGTGTGTGTGCTCGTGCTTGATCAAATACTTTGTTATGTATGTAGTTGAAAACAATATTTATAATTTTAAAAAAAATATCTGGAACGAAAATGGAAGGTGAAACGGCATCTGGAAAAGCGCAAAGGCCAAATCAGCAAGAGATTGCAAGAGGCAGGATCCAATGAGACGGGTGACTGTAAAATGCAGTTGCAAGTCATTTCACCTTTGCCGAACGCTTAAAAATATCGGTGTTGCACAAACGATCAATTGATCTTTGTGACGTTTAAACTCGCGCTCCGTTGACCGTCGGCTGCAGCGTTTCAGTTGGTGGAGTTGGCTCACGGTCTCAAGGGTCACGGGTTCAAATCCCGGTTCAGGGTTGACTTTTCCTCTCATTCCTCGGGGGGGGGCTCGCGAGATGAGCACCACCTGCTGAGGCTGCGTCGTCGTTTAGTCAGACGCCAGCAGCGGTTGTTATTGCAGAGGGACTGGTCCTTTCGATTTAAAGCTTTCGTGACTGCAGGGATTCATCTTCTTGGTTCTTTCGGTAAAGTCACGTAGAAGAGAAATAATAAAATAAGAAAAATAATTAATAAAGCATAAGAAAATTATTATTATGTTTTACTTTTATTATTTTATTATTTCCCTTCTATGTGACTTTACCGAAAGAACCAAGAAGGACTGGTCCTTGTCATAGGAATGTGACGTGGCTGCAGCGGGCCACTGATCAACGCTCGTAACAGTGCACACGACAGTTCACAGTGCGATTTGGATTTACGTCGCCACAAAATGCAAGTGCATCTCAGGGGGGCTGGACAGCAGTAACAGCGTGGCACGTGCGCATCGCGTGGGCGATAATTCGTCGTGCACAGGCAGAACCTCGCTTAGCGCTCAAGATGCGTTCCTGGAGGACTGAACGCTCGTCGAATCGGCGGCGCTACGAGGCGGCGGTGGGGAAGCTGATGTGCTGCCAAGCCGCGTCGTTCTCAGAGAAGAGAGCCCCAGGACCTCCGCGATTTGAGTGATGGCCTCAGTCTAAATGTCTGTGTTGGGTTGTTTTTTTTTTGTCTTAGGTGGAGTTTGAGACTTTATCCCGGTCTCGTGAGTTCTCAGCTGGCTAACATTGGAAACCAAAATATGAAAATGCAATCGTGACTATGAGTCGTGATAATCGAATCGCGGTGGAGGCATACGTCGCTCTCAATGGCTAAGTGAGTGATGTGGGACAGGTCCGCTTCCTCGGCCAGCGCTGCTGCGTGTTTTCCTGAATGTCCTCCAGGACGAAGAGCGCTATCACGAATCGGCGCTCTTCGGGGTCGTGCTAAGCGAGGACCGCCTGTATGATGCGTTTCCGGAGCATAGACATTCTAGAAAAGAGACAGTCTCAGGCAGAAGGGAAGAGGGAGGTCTTGAGCCTGGACTTGAACAGGGGCAGTTGACAGCACAGATAGCTGGAGGCAGTGGAGCACCCCCCCCCCCCTTACTGGGCAGAGGTTAACTGGGTGTTTCGAAAGGTTATCTTTGAGAAACAATTCTGGTGTAGGTGAGATGGTTGCAAGAGTTTGTTGGTGCAACTTGTGCGGTCCGACAAAATTACCATCTTGTTACGTAGCCCTGAGCCGGTGGTGGAAATTCCACATTACTTTGTAAGTATCAGTGTTGAAGTTATTTAGCACCGTACATCGTCAACTGTGCTAATCGGAGGTGCGGGGGGGGGGGGTAAGAGCAACCAACTAAACACAAAAAGCAGTTCTAAACAAATTCGTTTTAAAACTAGATTTCAAAGTGCATTGCCCCAGTGGCTTCCCAATATCGGAAGGAAGAGCATTCCAGACGGCCACAGAATCGCATGACTTGACACTGGCATCTGCGATGGACCGACAGGTTCACGTTTGTGTTGTTGACGCCACACGCGCACATCATCCTCCTTCTTCGTGTGCTTCTCTTTTACAACGTCGGCATCGAGAAGGGGTGGGGGGAGGGTGGAAAACAAAACCTCTTCTGCATAGCCACGTGACGTTGCCGGTGCTCAGGAGCACTGCTGTTAGAGTCCAACGAAGCGGCCCATGCATAGCGAGCCAGAAGGACACGCAACTACGGTCGCGAGTCAGCCTTTGACCAGAAGTTTAGCTTTAAATATTAATTTGAAAGTGTCGTACGTTAAACAAGTTACATTGAAGTCGCTCTCATGCGCTGCGGATAAACAATTCGCACGCATGTGTTCTGCGTTACAGGAGAGTAGATTATACGCTAACGAGTTAAGGGAAAAATACACAGCAAAACATCGCAACAATAGCTTCTTTGGAGTTTTATGTTTGCTAGGTATGAATTGTCACCCTCGGTTTTATATACTTAACACGCGAGATACAGGGCTGTACGACGAGTTCATAATTCCCTTTTATAGTTTTCCAGTTTTGTAGCTGATAGAGTTTTGGGTGCTTGGTTATATTAGCTTCTCTAATCTCTAAAATATGGCGGTGGTAATGAAGGCATGCGTTTGCACAGCTTTGAAGCGCATAATAGCCAATGTGATATTCAGCCTAACTTTAATACATCCCTCTTAAGCTGAATTCTTTGTTTGCGTAATAGCATCTCAATATATTACAGTACTCTCCCACTCTTTATAGTAACATCGTATTGCTAAAGAGTATAGAAATCATAAGCACGTGCCCGGAATGCCCGTTCGGCGCACGGCACTTGCACTCCGGAGTTCACTGGTTTCGTTCGGTTCTCCTGGCGCGGCAGTCGAAGCGACGGACTTGGGTTTCCTAAATTCCCACCGCCTCTAATCTACACGGCAGCATACATGTTCACGTCACGCGGAGTCGATCGCCCGGTCGCGTTGTGGTGGGATACAGACTGTGGGTTGTCCCAGCTCTTGCAAGACGGCTGGCCAGCATGGAAGGGTAGGCCAAAAACCCTCTGGAGGGGTTCGCAAAAGCTCCCCCCGAGTGTAGGCCCTTCCGCCAGTAGTGTTGGCTGCTCATAATTGCAGCCCTTCACCTTTGCCCTTTTACTTGTTTGGAGTCACTGCGGAAAGCCAGATTAGTGTAAACATATAATATTGTCATCGAATGTTAAATCCCGATTCAGGAATCATTGCTTGAGGGGTTTTGTACAAAAATTGTACAAGATACAGAAACCGTTGCCATCATCATCATCAGCTATGTTCTGTGCACTGCTCGAAGATGCCTTCCTACGCCACCGCCGCCCCACGTTGCCACGGTACATCGCGCTCGGGCATGTAAACCGATCTCGCCACCACTCCGTCTCCAGGGTTGGTATCCTGTCGAGCACGTTCACCCGCCATTGGCTGCCATTCTGGCGCCAGTTTCTAAAGCTTCTGCTGTAAGAGGTCAAGTTTCTGCTGCTGCTGCTGCAAATTCAGCTGTGTAATGTACGGGGGCACTAGCTCAACATCGCCTGGGAGGTCGCGGGTTCAATCCCGACCTTGACGCCTCCTGTATATTTGGAATTTGCATGTTCTCTCGGTGGTTGCGTGGATTTATGTTTCTGGATTCCTCCAGAAACATACATTTGTAATTGATATATCATTTCCACATACATTTCCACGTGATAAGCCACTTCGTTGAGCTATCATTGAAAACAAGCTACATAGCTCAGTGGGCCTTACCTGGTAAAATAACAAAAAAGTTTAGTTTACATCGGAAAGTTGGGGGAAAATGAGTCTGAAATGCTTGAGGCTTAAAACGGTGGAGATTTTAGAACGGGTTGCGAATAGAGGAGACATGGATGTTGTCTGTTGTTGGCGCGGAATGCAGATTACAAGGAGAACCCGTACGGTGCGGACGACTCGAGAAGCCCCTTCCCTCTGCCGCCGCAATGCAAGCGGAGCTACGCGCAGAACCTGCCGGTGTGGATCAAGCCCAGCGGCCTGCAGGTTCCGGCTCCGCGTTCACGAGCGCGGCTCCCGGCGGCTCCCGGCGCTTGCGCGCTTGCGGACCGTGCCGGCTCCAGTGCAGTTTGCGGAAAAAGCGCAACGCAAGGAGCAAACGGGTCACCGTCGAGCCGACATCGATCCATGGCGGCGCGCGAGTTTGAATTTCCTTCTATAAATAGAGAGCTGCCGAATCACCTCCAAAGCCGCCGTCCGAGCAGCCCCATGAACGATCGCAGCCGTGACTGTTTTCAAATCCCCTGGTGCTTTTTACAATCTCTGCGGTGACTGAAACGTGGCCGGCTCCCACCCAGCGCCGCGCGTCACTAGATGCGCGCCGGTAGCGCCCGGCACATCCAAGCTCGAGCCGCGCATCGCCAAACACGTGCGGAACGATGCGTACTTTTCACCCCGCAGGATCGTGACCAGGGCGTGCTATGGTGGCGCTCATGAGCGTGGCCTTAAGGTCTTTGTTTTTTTTCATGAACGAAGCTTCGAACCCATGCCGCAAGCCCTGGGGGCCTGCTGTCTGAGTGGGCGTCCACTCAACACGAGCCGTTTCGTTTGATGTTTTTTCTTGTCTCGCACACCTTGGGTTATTAAGGCAGGGGTGCCCATTGGCTTAAGCGTTAACCTCTCCCATATGCAGATCTAAGTGAAGGAACTGACCAAACACACAGCGGTGTAGGACCATTACTAAAATGAGTCTGGAGACTAATTCCTGTAATAAATTAACAGCATTATTAGATTACACAATTCCCTGCAGTGCCGCACTCAACGATGTGCTCTGCGAACGTGAGTGTCCTTGAGCATCTCTCGCAGGCTAAACCGGGATCTCGCCTTTCTGCGTGCGTTCGTCTGTGTGCGTACGTGCATGACAGTAATGGGGGTGCGCGTGAATGACTCTCCATTTAACAGCGAGGCAGAGTGACCAAATGCGGGGCTGGTCTTTAGCTACAATCCTTCTGCCCAACCACCGTCTGCCCTTTGGTGGCGTAATGAAGGTGTTTGTTAATAGTGTCTGGCAGAGAACGGCTTCTGTCCCATTGCATGAGAAACGTGCACAAGACGTCTGTGTGTGTGTGTGATGTGCCTTTCCCTCACAGTGGGGAGCGGTGGCGCAGCGGTTAGCACACTGCGCTACGGACTCGGTGATCTGAGTTCAATTCCCATACACGACAGATAATAGTGGTGAATATTAGAACTGGTTCTGGGTTTCTCCCTGGTGAACTCAGTCTTAAATGAGGCTAACCCCCTTTTCCTGATGACGGCCGATTGTGTTGCGATCGAAACGTCGTGATATTTTTAATTCACTTTATTTTACCGAAGGAACCAAAGATTATGAATACAAATATCAGCATTGAAGAGATAAAGGTTAGCCGGGCGTGGTGGTCGGCCACACCACCCCTTCGTGTCCTGTGCCGGCCTTGATAGGTGCTCGCTAACAGCACTTGTCTCAACAGTCTGTTATCGCCTATACAGGGGAGCTTTGTCTGTGTCCAGCGTTGTCGAGAGCCGTGCTCACATAAGTGAGCAGAGTGCCATGCGGTTCTAGTGCAGCAAGCTGTCGCAGTGGGGAGTGCACGTGCTGACATCTGCTCTGTACCCCAGACGGTTAGTCACACCTGGGTCTGTCCCAAACACATTTGGGCTGAAAGTGCACCTAGACTGGTTCAAGTGCCATCGTGATATCACTTCCACTCGGGCGGTGACGCGGCGTTCGCCGCTTGTCGCAGATGCTCACGGCTGGCATCCAGCGGCCGCCCTCGTCATTACTGCCGGTGTAAGAACCATCGTAATACTGCGCTTGTGTCCGTGTCGTATTCCCTCACTTCATTCACAAGCGTAGGCCATTGGGTGCTGATGTCAGGGTCCACATTTCCAATAATCGAATATTACCTTTCAAACTCTTTGTTTTTTTCGGTAAAGTCACGTAGGTAAAAAATAGAAAATAAATAAAAAATGAAAACAAATACATTTAATTTAAATAAAAAATGAAAGCAAAATTTTTTGATTAATTTGGTTTATTTTTTTATTTATTTTATTATTATTTCCACCCACGTGACTTTACCGAAAAAACCAAAGAGTATGGATCCTTGCAGTCACGAAAACTTCAAATCTAGAATTACCTTTCAAATTACTCAATTGGAATTATACGTTGCAATCATTGCCCCCCTAATCGCAGATTACGTTCCAGGTCACTCTTCTCTTGAATTCTCACCCGGTCAAATAAAATAAACTTAAAATCTGAAACCTGGAACGCACCGTAGGAAGCCAAGCAGGACTTTGCCTGGCGAGTGCTTGGATGGGTTACCGCGTCGTCATGGGGCTTTTGGGACTGCGTGATCGGCAGCAGAGGGGCAGTGCAGCACAATCCATTGTACTGTACTTCTATGCTCCGCACATTAAATTAGCTACTGACCGAGTAACACTCGCCAACAATCCGCATGGCATGGGGAGGCTCTCATCCAGCGGCGGATGCATAAGAAGGAAGTCACATTTCAACCCGCTAATCAGTCATCGCAGGATTGGCAAAATAGGGAAAATAAACACCAATAGCCACTAGGTCTTACGCTTGAGATGCTTTTCCAGTTGCAATTGCGCGTCACATTTAAAATACATGCGCACAGGCGCACCCGGCGGTGCGTGCAGTGCTCCTACGTATGTCTCTGGCACCAAGCTCGAAGCGTTTGATGTCACTGCCCCCCCGATCGCCAAATCACGCGATGAAATGTCCCCGTATCGGAGACGAGCAGCCTTTGCACGTTTGTGATTTCGCAAACGAGCCGCGTGATTTGCACGACGCTGGAGTTGTCTCGGCCGATGCTTGCCGTCCTCGTTTGAGCCGCAGACAGTCGGGCGTCCCCTCACCTCACACCGCCACCGTCACCGCTCCCTGGAGGTGAATGTTTGATATCGTCAGCGCTGCCGCGGTAACGGCGTTACGCCGAGCGCATTTCAACACACCTCGTGTCGTCTCGTCCCCCCTCGCAATGGCACGGTTCGGTCGGCCGGAATTGCGCCCGAGTTGCAGACGCAGATATTATTTCACCGCGACGTTTACAGACGCAGCTTCGATTTCACTGCATGACGCGTCTCGGTGCCCAGCACATCTCGAGGCGCTGGACAAATGGGGGAGAAGGCATGGCGCATCTACAGAGCACGAAGCACAGAGATGATTTTTTCGAGGTTATATGTTTTTTAGAGCGGAGAAAAAGAGATGTAATTCCTACAGGCCAGAGAGAGATAATAGAGGTATTTGGGTTAGGGGCCGTCCATAAATGACGTCACGCGATTTTGGACGATTTTTGACTCCCCACCCCCCTTCGTCACACGGCGTCACAAAAAGTCAGACCCCCCCCCTCAAATATGACGTCACAGAGCTCTTCCCCCCCCCCCTCAAATATAACTTCACAAAGCTCTGCCCCCCCTCCCAAAAAAAAACATGCTTCAAATCGCTTTAAACTATTGTCATTGTAGTGCGTATTTAATGTGGCGCTGCACTCTGATGTTGTAGGAGAAAACATGTATTTAAAAAACGTCTATGGTGAGGAGCTTGAGAGAGAGAGAGACAGTCATAGGTGGAAGACGAAATTCTTAGCCTGAACTCGAGCAGAGAATTGCGATTATCAGTGTGGACTTCCAGAAGAAGGGAATTCCACATCACGGGGCAGCAGGAATTGCAGCAGCAGAGAAGGGGCGACCTCCCATTGGAACGAAGGTTTACTGCAGATTTTGATGGAAGCCCTCCGCGAGCCTTCAAAAAGTCTAACAGGTTTCAGATCCGGATTTTATTAACGTTACGATTAGTATTTTAATTTATTTCACCCACCACATCTTTCTATCCTCATCTAAATAATATTCTGTATTCGTTCACGTTTTAATGCGCTCTGTGAGAAAGAGAAAAAAAACATTTCGTAGGAAATTGGAAACGTTGCAGTATTTACAGTAATTGGCTTAATTGGAAGAGCTTGATATGAGACATTTTTCGTGGCGCGTGAGAAATCTATATTTAAGATGTCGGCAGCAGAGCCCACGCTCGCTTTAGCATCCCCACGATCAATTGGGCTGCCCTTTAATGAAACATTCTCGCGTTGAGGTCACGCCTTCCTCTGAAGAGTGTTGATTGTTGCAACATGTCCATATCTTAGGCCACCGGCTGCCTTAGTCTGCCACTGCCATTGGGTGCCACGCACAGCTGCAGGCTGCCCGAGTGGATGATCGCAGAGATAAAACTATATATATATAAATTAGTTTAACAGGTAAGGCCCAGTTTGTACCAGTTTAAAAGGGTAAAAACCTACTACTATATTTTGCCACTGGTAAAAGAGATCTCATAAGGTTAGGCCCATTGAGCGATAGAGCTCTTTTTCAGAAGTGACCTGGCTGATAGCTGAACAAAGTGGCTTATCACGTAGAAATGTGTAAGAGCCAAATACTCTTCAGTGCATGTTTGTTGTCCTTCCTCCACACCTCCGATGAGCATGGTTGGCTACGTACGGTGCGAAAGAAGTTCAACATATATACAGTTCAACATACATAAATGTGGAGGCAAAAACCGGAGGACCCAGAGAAAAATCCACGTGACCACGGGGAGAACATGCAAACCCAAAATATGCAGGCGTGAGGTTCTGGATCGAACTCACGACCAGGCGAGGTAGTTAACATCTCGCCACCACGAGGTAGCTGGCACGGGTTTGGTCACCTCGTCGATCCCGTCAATAATTTTGAGCAGATATTCCCCGTGGCGCCGACTGGTTCCACGGGGAGGACTTTGCCGAACAGAAGCTGTTGCCTGGTCACGTGACTCCCCAAAATGCTCACTTTATTTCTCTGCACCGAGCCACATTGCGACGGAATAATGTTGCTCAATTGCTTTCGAGGGTTTTTTTTCTCCGTAAATTTTCATAGCTTTTGTTTCGCCCGTTTTCATAGAGAGCCCCTTTTGGAGTGGGGCGCTTGCGGTTTTTCGGCTAATATTTATTTGTTTATTTTGCTGGAGA